GGGTGAGTGAATTGAAGAGGGGAGCAAGGGCCAAGACTGATCATCCCATGAGAGCTACGGCTTCAGTCTCTGGTGAGCAGTTTCCCAGATGGAGTGGAAGAGCTGATTTTACTCCAGCTCCTGTGATAACGAAGAATAATCCCTTTCACCATGACTTAAGTGTCCAACGCTATGATGACCATTAGAGGGGCCCTGTCTCCAGCCAGGTGGTGGCAGGGGACAGTCGGATTTACTGGACTGTGTGGATCAGATGGCCTGGCACATCAGTCCCACAGAAGTATAAGGCTCTAGTAGATACCGGTGCACAGTGTACCCTGATGCCATCAAGCTGTCAAGGGGTGGAACCCATCTATATTTCTGGAGTGACAGGAGGATCCCAAGAGTTGACTATGCTGGAGGCTGAAATCAGCCTGACTGGGAGGGAATGGCAAAACCACCCTACTGTGACTGGTCCAGAGGCTTCATGCATCCTTGGCATAGACTACCTCAAGAGAGGGTACTTCAAAGACCCAAAAGGGTGCCGATGGACTTTTGGTATTGCTGCTTTGGAGACTGAGGAAATTGAGCAGCTGTCCACCTTGCCTGGTCTCTCAGAAGATCCCTCTGCTGTGGGGTTGCTGAAGGTTGAAGAACAACAAGTGCCAATTGCGACCACAACAGTGCACAGGTGGCAATATCGCACCAACCGAGACTCCCTGATTCCCATCCATCAGCTGATCCGTAGACTGGAGAGCAAAGAAGCGATCAGCAGAACCCGCTCGCCCTTTAATAGCCCCATATGGCCAGTGCAAAAGTCTAATGGAGAGTGGAGACTAACAGTAGACTATCGTGGCCTGAATGAAGTCACACCACCATTGAGTGTTGCCATACTGGACATGCTAGAACTTCAGTATGAACTAGAGTCAAAGGCAGCCAAGTGGTATGCCACAATTGATATTGCCAATGCATTTTTCTCAATTCCTTTGGCAGCAGAGTGCAGGCCACAGTTTGCTTTTACTTGGAGGGGTGTCCAGTGCACTTGGAACCAACTGCCCCAGGGGTGGAAACACAGCCCTACCATTTGCCATGGACTGATCCAGACTGCACTGGAACAGGGGCAAGCTCCAGAACACCTGCAATACATTGATGACATTATTGTGTGGGGCGATACAGCGGAAGAAGTCTTTGAGAAAGGGAGGAAAATAATCCAGATCCTGCTGAAAGCCGGTTTTGCCATAAAACGGAGTAAGGTCAAGGGACCTGCACAGGAGATTCAATTTTGGGGAATAAAATGGCAAGATGGACGTAGACAGATCCCCACAGATGTGATCAACAAGATAACAGCAATGTCTCCACCAACTAATAAGAAAGAAACGCAAGCTTTCTTGGGTGCAGTGGGGTTCTGGAGAATGCACATCCTAAATTACAGTTCGATTGTAAGCCCTCTCTATCATGTGACCCGGAAGAAGAATGATTTTAAATGGGGCCCTGAGCAGCAACAAGCCTTTCAGCAAATTGAACACGAGATAGTTCATGCAGTAGCCCTTGGACCAGTTTGGACCGGACCAGATGTAAAAAATGTACTGTACACTGCATCTGGGGAGAACGGTCCTACCTGGAGCCTCTGGCAGAAAGCTCCAGGGGAGACTCGAGGTCGACCCCTCGGCTGTTGGAGTCGAGGATACAGAGGATCTGAGGCCAGCTATACCCCAACTGAGAAAGAGATACTGGCAGCCTATGAAGGGGATCGAGCTGCTTCGGAAGTGACTGGCATTGAAGCACAGCTCCTCCTGGCACCCCGGTTGCCCGTGCTGGGCTGGATGTTCAAAGGCAGGGTCTCCTCTACACATCATGCAACCGATGCTACATGGAGTACATGGGCTGCACTAATTACACAACGAATTCGAATAGGAAATCTCAGTCATCCAGGCATTCTAGAAGTCATCATGGACTGGCCAGAGGGCAAAGATTTTGGAATGTCACCAAAGGAGGAGGTGATGCGTGCTGAAGAGGCCCCACCATATAATAAACTGTCAGAAAGTGAAAAGCAGTATGCCTTGTTTACTGATGGGTCCTGCCGTTTTGTGGGAAAGCATCGGAGATGGAAGGCAGCTGTATGGAGTCCTGGACGACAAGTTGCAGAAACTGCTGAAGGAGAGGGTGAATCGAGTCAATTTGCCGAGGTGAAAGCCATCCAGCTGGCCCTGGACATTGCTGAACGAGAAAAGTGGCCAGTACTTTATCTCTATACTGACTCATGGATGGTGGCAAATGCCCTGTGGGGGTGGTTGAAGCAATGGAAGCAGAGCAACTGGCAATGCAGAGGTAAACCCATCTGGGCTGCTGCACTGTGGAAAGATATTGCTGCCAGGGTGCAGAACCTGGTGGTGAAGGTACGTCATGTAGATGCCCATGTACCCAAGAGTCGGGCCACTGAGGAACACCAGAACAACCAACAAGTGGATAAAGCGGCTAAGATTGAAGTGGCTCAGATGGACTTAGATTGGCAACATAAAGGTGAATTATTTTTGGCCCGGTGGGCCCATGACGCTTCAGGCTATCAGGGCAGAGATGCAACATATAGATGGGCTCGTGATCGAGGGGTGGACTTAACAATGGACACTATTGCCCAGTTATTCATGAGTGTGAAACATGTGCTGCAATTAAACAAGCCAAGCGGTTAAAGCCTCTTTGGTATGGAGGACGATGGTTGAAGTATAAATATGGGGAGGCCTGGCAGATTGACTATATCACACTGCCACCAACCCGCCAAGGCAAGCGCTGTCAGCCCAGCACCACTCACTGGGAGCGAGTGAACAAGCTGTCTGGCTAGGGTTTAAACCACGACAGGAAAAAAAAAAAGAAAAAAGGGCATAATGATAAATTATGAAAAGCAATTATTTTAAAAGCCAAAAATCTAACACTACCTGTAAAGTGAAGGAACATTTGTTAGGGGAACACTGACACAGCATTTAAAAACACAAACACCAAGATTTATTCTTTTTTATATTCCTGAAAGGTGAGAATTACCAGATAGAAAAAGAAACAATTGAGTGGAATAACATCTGGAGTATGTTGCAAAGATGTCTGCAGGCACATCTGTGAAAGAATATGCCTAGGAAGTATCTGAAGTTGTTCACTCTCAATTTTTTTGCGAAGTTTCACAATGATATATTAAAGTAGGTATTATGACGAGGGGCAACATACTTTCATTAGCTTTGATTTTTGTTATGTAATATATTCAGTGCATTTGAAAGATGATGTATTGAGACTCTGGAGCAGGATATCCTCTCTCCATCTTTCTGTGAACAAAGTACAAATTTGCTTTCCTGTCAATGCCAAAGCATCGGTGGTCCAGTGCTGGCATCCTAGCACCCAGAGTTGTTAATTCCTATTAGCACTGCTCACGTTGATACAGAAACATCATATGCAAATGATGGTTGGAAAGTAACTGAAACTGAAATGAAAAAAATAAATGACTTGTTTCAGTCAGACACCTCCCTGTAGCAGAACAGAGAAGTGGACAGAAGTTTCCATTTTAAAGTGTTAGTTTGGAGTGAATAGAAAGAAGGCAGAAAGGAAAAAACTGCTATCCACAACTACAACATTCAAACACTACCAAATCCAAATACTGGCACTTTCAGGGGAATAAGACCATAAATAAAGAATGCCATTACTGTCACCTTGAGTGACCACTTGCATAACACCAGCCAAAAAAAGCCTACGCCACAATTCCTGTGCAGAGCTCACAGCTCTGTCTCAGGATTAAAATACGTTCAAGTGATGGAAAATCCATCTCATGTTCAGGTAAACTGCTCTGAAGGTTAGTCACACTCTTAAAGCTTTTTCCCATATTTTTACTGAGAATTTCCTTGTCACAAATTTCCTTAGCTTCCACGCTATGAGGGATTTCACAGTTGGGTTTTTTTCTTCTAGATTAAAGAGGGATCAGCTATCAGAAATCTCTTCACTATTTAAGCTGTGCTCACCTCCTCACCCTTTCTTTATTTTTTTTTCCCTTTTAGCTGTGGGGGAGGGGATAAGCAGAACAGCTTAAACCCTAAGCTGCTTAAGAGTTCCTAAGCCTCTTACGGTAGGGGATGTTTTCTGAAAACTGAACTCTTTTGCAGGTTTTTTTTTGACTAACCTCCAAATTTTCACAAACTTTCTGAAATACAGATGACAAAACAGACACAGTGTTCCACTAACTGCTTCCCTTATACTTTTTACAGAGGAAACAGGACTACCTGGTCCTTACAGTCTTGTGGTAGACTAATTGCCCTGCTTCTCCAAGGACTGACTTCAACTGTCAGCCAGTGGGGTGTCCCCTTATACTGGGTTCTCACCTTTAGTCATTTCTTGTAAGTCTCACTCATGTGGGCTTGGATAATGAGCATGAACTTTGGGCCAAGAACAGGTAAGTTATGCAGGAACCACCACCCACCCCCTCAAAAGACAACCAGTAAACTCAAGAGTATCCTGAGAGGAGTTTTTTCCTCTTTTCGGGTGAGTGCCAGAAACCCTGGAGTCAGCATACTGGGAAGCCAGTTTGCTGTTTCATTTGGTGAAACAACCATAGTTACACTACCTTCAGGATCATGATGCTATTGTAGAGTGTTTCAGATAAGCATTTTAAAGAATTAGTCATTTAAAAGTGTTTCAGTGGTGGATTGTGGATTTGCCGTATTGACAAAGAGAGTTGTCACGGCGCGTGACACAGGATGGTACAATATACTATATGTAAGGAGTACAACATGTATTTGAACAAGCATTGAATAAACATAATCGTTCAATAAAGGCACAAACTCCATGGGATAATTCTTCTGCTGTAAGAGTCAGTGTAAAAAATTAGGAGATGCTGACGAGGAGAGACAGAAAAAAGCAGCTGGGGGGGGGGGGGGATGAAAAAGCTCATCTATCAAAATACTTTTAGATTATTTCTTTGCAAGAGTGAATGATTCTATGAGACAATGCGTTTACAGCAGCCCATTAACTGAGACTACTATTCCCTACTTACTTACACATTTAAGGGTTGCCAGGCAGGCCACTGTGCTTTTGCCTTGATGACTGTTAAAACCTCATCGCTCTGTAAAAAGAGAAAAGAAAGTGATTGGGACAATATTATAACAAGAGTAATCTGATTAGCGGCAAGCAAAGGCAGCGAGATTTTGGGTGCAGCCTTCTTTTCTGCAGGAACTAAAGAGAGCTTAAACCACTAGCAGTGAGAGACTATGTTATTTTTGCATCATGAGCTGAAGGGAAAGGTTTCAGAGTGATGCACAATGACATGAATAAATAAGACAATAACCTTTGTAATGGGGAAATACCCCAAGATAATATTACCAAGCTGAGCCTTGTTCTGGTAACACTGTCACAGAAAGAGGTAGCTGTGCTGTATGCTGGGCTGTTAGTCCACATGTAGTAGTTTAGTGGCAAAAAGTATATCCTGGGCTGTCAAATTTGTGACTCTCCAACAACCCTTGTCACCAGAAGAATTTAATTTACCAGGTTAAAAAAAAACAAAGACACAAAAATAGCTCTTAATATGTTACAGATCTACAGATCACGAGGGAGACAAAAACTAGATTCTGCTGCTCTTGGCAAACTAACAAAACATGTGAGCATGTATGATATATTATTTATTATCCTTATCTGGGTAGAGGATATAACAAATCCATGGTGGATGCACTACAATCTCCTCCAGGTAAAGCCATGGATAGCACTTTGTGTTTGCTCTCCATTTACGCACATGAAAATTACAGTGTGAAATATAGCAGCCATCTGTGGAAGCCCACAGTGTGGCAAAGCATTGTACAAAGATTATTTCCTAAAGTCTGTAGGAATTCCTGCATCAGCAGTTTTAAACTTTATATTGGCACAATAAACCCAGGACAAAGGCAGGACCACTAACAAGGCTCTGATGCCCAGAAGACATCTATCACAGTTTTTAGATGCATTTTCCCCATCTCCTTGAGGAATCCACCCCAGTAAATCACTGAGAGGAACACACAGTTTACAGTTCACTCACATGACTTCTACCCCAATTACACTAAGAAACCCACCCCATACGTCACCAGTAATTGGCATTTCCAGCAGAGCTGACCTTTCAGTTTAGTGATAATAGTGCCATTTCCTGCTAGACAGCAATAGCTCTGATACCCCAGACTAGCTCCATATACACCCCTGTTTAAAGAAAATAATTTTTGCTGTTTGTTTCTACCACTCCCAGTATAATCTGGCTCTCTCTTTTTAACCAAAGCAGGGTAATTATGGTGCTGATAGACCCGCTCTGTAACACAGAGAGTTTTTAGTCTTGGGAATATTTATGTGACATGACCTCTCACTCAGACTGAGTGAACGGATAAGACACTGCTTGAAAATCCCTTTCATAAACACTACTGCTTTGCCAAAGCCTATTCTACATTAGATGAAAATCTGACTCTATAAAGGCAAGTGAGTATAGAAAGATTTAATCAAATTCCCATACTACTAGTGCAGTGGGACTGAAGAGAACACTATGATGAGTGGAGCAGAGGCACAGTGGGCAGCTGGGTTCCCTGGGGCAGGCTCTGGGCCAGAAGCAGAAGCCTGAGCTACCGGCACAACCCTTGCCCAGCTCCTGCTCCTGAGCAGAACCCAGCAGAGTAGGGCATCATGCGCGTCCAGGCTCACCTATGGAAATCTTCTTACCTCCATGCCTGCAAAAGACAGGTTTCCCCTCAAAGTAATGTAAAAGGAAACTGATAAATTAATGAAGTTAAAAGTCTGAAGTTATAAGACTTTACTTGTCTTTCTCTGTCAATGGAATTTGCCTTAACTTTTAATTTTCCTTGTTTCAGCATCTCAAGACTTTGCAGCCACTCCGACCTTCAGTTATTTGCCTTGAAAACACATCTGCATTCAAAATTATTAAATGCGCATTGTACATCCCAAAGGAAGATTATTATGAGCATAGATGGTTACATTTATTAAAATAATACACTGCTTATCTAATACAAGCCAGTAATTATGTCACTGACATTCAAATCACTCATATCTGAAAGAATTTTCAAACTAAAAGTGTTATTCAAACTAAAAATGCAGATGATGAGTAAATGACCTCTAAGTAATAGCTTTGGAGAAAGTGCAGAGGGAAGGAAATAAACAGAGCAGGGTGCATTCAGACATCCCAAAATTTTTAAGGGAGGTTAAGATTCAGGTGCAACAGCTGAATTCATGACCTGAACAGTAACCAAAACCCAAAGATGCAGAATCCAGCATTCTGTTGGAATGAAAATGCACATTTTTGGTACCTAGAGATCCTTAACAATTATACAGGATTAAGCTGCAACTTGAATTAAATAATTGTTACTCCAGACTGATATTCTAATTATTCAGTCACCTCCATCATACAATTTTTAATAATTAAAAATTAAAAACAAATTAAAATATAATGTGTACAATAATGCCAGTATGTATCTACTACTACATTCAGTAATAGGAAGACACCTCAGTAGATGGTTTGTACAGTAAGGAGTTTCCCTTGGACAAATATTTATGTCCTTGTAAACAATCCAGCAAACTGTGCATGAGGTCTGGGTGTCAGTTCTGTGGCAGCCTGGGCAGCACAGCTCCCCTCATCACTCGTGGTGCTACCAGCCTGTCTCTCTCCAGGTTCTGAAGGGAGCAGGCTCCAGAGTTCATCCAGCACAGCAGTGACCTTCCTCTACCTCCAGTGGACCTCCACATTCCTAAGGGAACACGATAAACTCAAAGAGGCCAGGCAAACAGATGTTACACACCGCACAAGTTCACAGCCTCATGAACAATTCGTAGAAAAGGTCTGATGCTTGGATTTGCTGGCATCAGCTATAATTTACTGGCAGATGGGAGAAACTGAGAGGATACAAAATGCCTGAAGAGAAACCCACAGATTAATGTTATGTAACTGGTTGATATAATCCAACTGCCTTGAAAATCCAATTGCACAGATTTTGTAGAGGCATACAGGGTTTATGAATTTTAGTTAAAGTTTCTTTGCTGTATTACATTTGAACTCATTTTTCTTTCCTCTTCATATTTCCAAAGTTTATGTTTGAAGTAAACAAACTCAGATTCATGTCAAAATATGGCAAAAAGATCTAGAATCTTTCACTGTTGTATGTTGCAAGGTGTCATCATTTATGTATTTGGCTGGGAAGCAATGACTCCCAAGTAATGGAACTGTTAGATTTTTAAAAAGAAAACTACATCATTTACAAAATGATGGAGTGTCAAATATTACAATGTCAGAACAAGTTAAAGAGGACACCGAACCTCTTGCTTGGAGCTGTTGAAAATCCTTTAGGTAAAGTCTGATACACATCTCTTTCAACAATAAACCTGGGGGGGGGGGGGTGGGGGGGTGGGGTGTGGGATGGATGGGGGGATGGGGAGGGCAAACAGGAAAGGGCTTACAGAGTTTTCAAGCCTGTGTTGTGCCCTTTGTGCATGTGGAAGTTGTCAAAGAATAAATCTGGACTACCTGTCAGTTTTTACAGAGATACACAGGAAAAAAGTCTCAACCCTCTTTCCTTTTCTCATTTAAGGCAGTTTCATCCTTTAGTACAAATCACAGAATTGATACTTGGGAATTTGCAGTTGAGTTTTTGCTCAGCTTTGTTTGTGCAAATGGGTATCATGCAACAGAGTGCAGGTTCTGCTAAGAAGGGAGCACAGCGCTGTGCTATGCCACTGGCAGCCTCGACACAACCAGTTGAAATAGGATGACTGCTTCTTTACATGCCTAGAATATGCTCAAAAAGTCCAGTGAACCCAAAGTAGTTTCTAGATTGACTTCAATATTTTTTGGATTTGGCCTACATTAACACGTGCAAAAATAGCAATCAATTCTCCTTCTCTTCAGATCCTCTTTCTATATTTGTGTTTCAAGTTGGGGGCGAGTGGTTGACTCAACAGCAGTTCTTTATGAAGGTGCTGTCCTCCAAAAAGTCCTAATAGCATGATTTCAGAAAGTTGCCAATGTCATTCTAATACAGCCGGCTTACTGATGTCCTCAAGTTGGCAAAAATTAATCACTTACTTTAGATCCATTTGTTCCTGCAATGTACAAATGAACATGCACACAGAATAACGGCATTAAATGGCAACAAATATAGAATCCCATAGTGTGAAACCACCGCTAAATTAGTTCATCCAGCTGTGCACTTCACAAAAGATTAAAAACATTTCCTCATCTTCAAGAACAGAAAGTGGGATACAGCTCAAAAAAGCAGCACTGAAGATGGAATTTGATTTGAAGTTTTTCTCAACCAAGGGAATTTAAAGCAACTTTCTTAAAGGGTAACATCCGTTAAAAAAGTAATGAAAGCTTTCAGCTGAAGTTTTAAGCATTGTCTGAATACCTTTAGAATAAAAGAGAGATTAGTAGGATCTGAAAAGCTGCATAAACTGTTTCATGTGCTCCTGCTGCTTTTTGGTAACTGATGTGATCAGTATATTTTCTGAACTGGAACTTATTTTAAAAAGTGTCTCTTATTACTAGTATTTTATGTGTGCCAAATTACATTAGAAAATGTTAGTGTGCAGATCACTTAGCACTTCAAAATAATTATTTGATTCAGTTCAGCTAAACACGTGACTGTATTATCTGATATCGAAATCAGAGTCAGATTCAGTCAACTGTGGGAATGAAAAAAACCTGTTCTGAGACAGAGCTTCAATGCACTCAATTCACACCACCGTTTGGCATTCATTCCATTGTTTTAGAGCAGAGAACATTTAATTCCTTCTACAACACTCATCTTTGTAATATCCACAGTAGACTCCTTTTCACAAGATTCTTAGAAAGTAGAAAAAGCAACATTATTCTCAATTCACAGATGATTAATTGAGCATCTTCTGGAAACAAACCTACATATCTGATTTTTAAGATAACATCTGCACTGCAGGATCATCCTTGCCCTCAAAAAATAATTTGTTATTGAAGAAGAGATAAGATGAGAATGAAGAAGTATAATGAACAATATGTCTTCTGTGGGGAATCAAATGCTATGAAAATGAAAATGATATAGTGCTTTGGGGGCATAGCTGTGTGCTCTTAAAAGC